CAGCCCCGTGGCTTTGTGGCCATTGCCATTTGAATCCGTATCCATTCCATCACCTCGGATTCCCCGCCCAGCCTGTAGTATGTAGTTGCAGCTCTCTCGGCAGCTTGGCAATCTGCCATCATTTGGCATAAATCCCCCTGATAAGGCCCCTCGATTGCTCCCCGGAGCTCGTACTCGTAAGCCGCGCAATTTCGCTGGCGCGGAGGTCATAGTTCATAGTTTGTGCCCGCAACTACTTAGAAATAATATGAATTTTTCAAAAAGTTTGCGCACTCCCCACGGGCTGAGCGAGTTTTTTGGCCATATAACCAGAGAGGGACCCCGCCTCGGATTGGCCCGAAATGTAGCCATTTCTATGCGGATCCCCACTAGGAACTGGAGTTGGGTTCAACGCTCGACTCCCCCTTTAGTGCTGTAGAGCTCTATTCTAATCTGAATCTTCCCTCTAGGAGATTGGCAGACATTACGACATGCAGCACCGCAAGTTAATTGCCCCTGCAACAAGGGTCATCATTCATATTTTATGCTTGCAGAACTCTGAGAGATCTCCCAAGTGGAAATTATAATAAAAAAATCCGCGTACAACTATGCTAATATCAGGTTATCGAATAAATAGTGAACTTTATTGTGTGGTAAATATTTATATGAAATTAAATCATAATTAAAATAAATTGTAAAGTCAGCATTTCATAATATAAAATGCTTTATTAATGTATTCTAAATTTCTAAATAATATAATGAATAAATAAATTCTTTCTATTCTTCTCCAATTTCCATATTAAAATATATTTTTATATACTTTGATAAAGAAACATTTCTTCAATTTAATTTATTACCAATAAATTCTATTAATATTGTAAGTCTTATAATTTCTCTAAAATTTCATATCATTATAAAGAATGTCACATAAATCAAAGCCAACATAAGTTTCTTTCACAAAATATCTGCGAGTCAAGTTGTTGTGCCCACTTAAAAACAAATAAAGCAGCGCTGCAAAATAAAAACGAAAAAGAAAACTTGTTTGTGCTTTGTTTTCTTTATTGGGTGCATTAAAAAATGTAAATAAATGTGCCCCAGCACGCATGTACAAAAAAAATAACAAAAGGAAAATAATACAACGAATGTGGCTCTATGAGTCACAAGCAAACACACGCACACCCAGAGTCCCAAACAAATTTCAGTTTTCAGTTTTTTTTTTATCTACTGGGTCTGCGGGGGTCAAAAACGGGGACGGGGGCGGGGACTGCAGCCTAGAATATAAATTTAATTCCGACAACAACAGATTTTTCGCCTCGATTCAGGCTCAAGTCTCGAGTCAATTTCAGGTTACGTGAGTTTGTGAGGGATTTCGTTTTGTTTTGCGCAGTTTCAGCCGTTGGCAGGAGTGGCCCAAGTCGATGGCCGAGGCGGGGGTTGGCGGTGCGAATGGCCGCCAGCTTCAATGGCCGCCGCACCAGGAGCTGCGGCTCTACCTGGGTGCGTGTGAGCGAGTGTGAGTGCGAGTGCGACAGGGATGCAGTGTGCGCACGGCACTAGGGGCCAGTGGAAGCGGAAGAGAGAAAGGGCGACACTGGCATAGTGGTTGCTACTTTTGTGCCAACTGTTTCTACGTGGCTTCTAAATTCGATTTCGGGATTCGAGTTCAGATGGTTTCAGTACTTTGTCCCAGATACACAGAAAAATAATTTAGTAGAATATAAAAATTATAACAGTAATTAAAATAATAGTTTATCACTAAAGTTGAAATATTTTTGAGATAAAAAATACTTGGACTTGTAAGTTATTTTTTATAATTTCAATTTCTAGTTTTCGTATCATTTCTCTCCGTGCACATTTCGAAATAGCTTCTTGGCTCAACTTGAACCCGTTCGGTGTGCAGCTGTTTATGGCTGAACTCCCACCGAACCGGCAAAAGTTTGTTTACGATTCGTTTCTGATTCGATTTTCGGTGGATGCCGATGCGATCCACTGTATCCCCCCCGAAGGTGCTGCTGTACTTGGCTTGTTTAATTAGCCGCGGCCTTCGGAATTCTGACGCAAATAAATCAAAGGCGAAGCAGACAACAAGTTTTCCTCAAAAAATACGGCATGTCAGACGGGGGAAAATAAGAAAAACAAATGCACACGAAGAAAAACAAGTTTGGGAAAATCAATGGAGAAGATAATGGTATTTAACTCTATCTAAAAATTATTTATTTTTTATAAATAATTACATAATAAACCTCCAAAGTGTTGCAGTAATAGTAAATTATTTTTGAAGAATTAAAAGAATTATAAATATAAAAATAAAATTATTTTAATATAATTTCTAATTTACTTTAAAAGCAAAAAGTATCTCAATTTTCCCAAGTGACATTACATTCTCTGCTTCATTTCATAATTTTTCAAGTTCGTTTTTCTAGCAGGCACAATTTCCCCCCGTTTGTTTTTCCTTTTTCTCCACCTCCTGCTCACTGGCCATTAATATTTCACTTGAGGGGCAGCTCTTTAACTAATCCCCCGTCCACAAAGTGCCGCACAGGTGAGGGCGGACCGGAGCTGCAAATTGGCAGCACCTTCTGGCACTTAATGAAGTCGGTGGGCCCAGCCCTTGGCCATTCCGGTCCTTCATCCGGGCAACCCTTCCCCCATTCCGTCGAACTGTGGCTCACTCTGGAAATTCGCTGGCCCTTCTAATTGCGCATCTTTAATGTAATCAAGTTACTCGGAGCAGGGACAGGCTTCTGCCATGCAAATGTATCCAAGAAATTAGTTAAATTAATTCAATTTGGCCGCGCAATTGGAATTTGCAGCACGGAGCGCTGATTAAAATTTCAAATGAACTTCTATTCAACGGATGGGGAGCCACTTACACGGAGTTTTCCGCTGCAGACGTAATTTCATTATTTATTTAGAGGCTCAGACATGGCAAATGCTGCAAAGGCACATCCCTCATCTATCTGAAAAGTGAGCCTTAAATTTGTGTTCAATTTGGTTTAAACAAATTTCGAGTAAACACGGGCAGTAAGAAATCAGAAAAAAATCTAAATAATATTTTTAACATTGTGGGAAAATGTTTTGTATTTATGCAGAGACAGCTGTATGCAGAGATTGCTATCTTTGCACCTGCAAAATGCAGGAATTTATCTTTGCTAAAAATATAATTAAATGGGTTGTCATTAGGCTTCGCTTTATACATTTTCATTTGCTCATTAAAAAGATCAATAGAGACAAAACAAAATACATTTAACCTGTTCAAATTATTTCCCTCTCTTAGTTTAAATTAATTTCTACCGTAAAAACCTATCTATTTCAACAAAATGACAGATATAACTTAATTTTTACTGACTTTACTCCTTGATATTAACTTTTATTTCATTTCCGCCGCAACCTTTCAATCCTTACTGTTTCCCTATCTATTTCCACCTGCTCCAACTAACGTTTTATTATTTTCATTTGCGCCCAGGTAAACAATATGCCAGCTAAGTTCGCTCCTTCGAAACGATCTAGGGACAATTTAATTAGGTTTTGGCAATGGCTTCGATTTAATTAAAAAGCACAAGGGGCTGGCAAATTGAAGCCACAAATAAAGCAACCAATTGAAGCGAGTGTGGCAAGCGTTTAATGAAGCCAGAACAACGGCAACTCGGCACACAGGCAGAAATAAGGGCAAATAAACGAGGTATTTATGTGGCGTCTCAAGACATCAGCCCCGAGGCCCCCCAAACCCCCAACAAGAAGAAGTAGAACTTCAGGTCCAAGGCAGGTCTTAAGCGAGGCGGGGCAACATACATAATTGACTGACGGGATAATTCACTTCCGTGCACTTGCGTGTTTATTAAATTTCTGGGGTTGTCTCAGGGCATTGATTCCGTATCGCTGGGGCAGCCGTGTGGGGGCGGGATTCCCCGTGCTGGAGCTGAGTTTCTGATATTGCGTAACCACATGTAATTACGTGTATTCCTCATTAGTTTGGAATCGTGACTGGCTTTTGGCTGGCTTTCTCGAAAAATGCGAGGCACTGACACGGTGGGATGAAAAGTGAACTGAATTGAATGATTTTTCATTAAAGGATGTCTTTAAAGGATTTAATTAAAATTAAAACTGGAAAGGGTTTGCATTTGCTTATATCAATGTTAAATTATAATTTAAAGCCTCATAGAACTGAAATTTAATGTATTTTTCTTGGCTAGATTACATACAAATATCCCATATATATAAATAAATTTATGTCCCATTTAAATCTTCCATATTCTCAGCTTGCCCTTCCATTGTGCAGCCATTGCTAATATCTGGGGCTGGAGGAGACATGTGCTCTGAACAACCGATGCCAGTGGAGGGTTAAGGGAATGGGGATATGGCTCCTGGCGTAGTCACGTTCGTCAGCCAACCCATTTACTTAGCTAAGCGATGGGGGTTGTAGTCGTGCCGCGTACCTGCCCGCGCAGAACCCTGTTGCCACCCAAGGAAGGACCTCCCACCACCACCCCTGCGTTAGGGATTCGCACAACTTGTTACTCGCCAGCCTTCCTATTTTCCCATTGCGATTCCTATTGCGATTCGGATTCGACTTGATGGAAATCTTCGAGCTACACGTTTTCGTTCTTATCGACGGAATATGGAAATTTCGTCATTTATTTGATCAACTTTTGCCTTTTTCATATCGGCCAAGGGCGGGGATCTCTCTGGCAGTGGATGTGAAAAATAAATGGCAAAAGGTACAACTTTGGGTCTCAACTATTTCATATGCCGCACACACACACACACGCACACACACTGTGAGTGTAATTTAGCAAAAATCATGTTTGCGAATAAAAATGGAAACTGGCATGCGAAATTCGAGTGCCGGGAAGCAATTCTCCTTCGGCTGAGTTGCACCTGCGACCCAATTCAATTGGATAGTTCGCCCAGACGCCAGATGGAGTTTTATGCACATCCCCATTATTATTACTTTTATTTTTCATGCATATAAATATGGGTATATATGTAAATGGAAAGAAAAGGTCGCGATGGAGACTCACCTGAAGCAGCTGCCGTCGGGTTAAGTCCTCGCTCCAGGGGTCGATGTATAATCAAGCTGGAATGGTACAACAGAAATTGTAAAATTAAGTATTAAGGAAATACTTGGGATATTAAAAAAATATATATATTAAAGGATTGTATATACTTTATAATAAATATTTTCAAAAAAGTAATTGAAGAGTTATTCAATGTGTGGAAAATACTTGCTCATGTGTGAGTTTTCCTATGAGTTACGCTCCATTTCCCAGCCTATGCAAGCGGACTCGCATGTAAAACACTTTTCACAGCCGATTTACATGGATTACACCACACAAAATGGCAAATGGCCGTCCGGCCAAGGACCCAAAATATACACCCGATTCGTCGACACCCAACACTCGCTCGGTGGTGGGGATGGATGAAGAGCAAACCGATTTATGCCAGAACACGCTCCTCATTATTATTTCACGCTTATCATTTTATTTCAATTCATTTCGGCCCACCGACCACCGACCACCGAACCCCCAACCCATTAGCCCCCGCCTCTGTCCAGAGTGCGGTTCCGTGTTTGCGGAAAAGCAGATATACAATAAATTCATAGTTGCTTTCCGGGGATTGGACCGCAGGATACAGAACTCAGGACCCAGGACACTCTCACGCACCATCGGGGGACATTTATATGGAGATGCTCGAGATGCATTCATATTCCATGGGGTCCAGTTGCGGGTCTCCGTGTTCCGTGCGCCCCATTACCCGTCGCTTATTCGATTATGTCGACATCGATGCTTCATATATGTACAAAATACACCAAGAGAAAATCTTTTCCATGTGAATATAAGTTGGGGGAATTATATAGAAGAAATCTGGAAAGATAGTAAGGTGTTCAGTTTGGATTACGAGAGAGAGAAAGGCGATTTATCAATTGGAAAGTAAAAAGAAAGAAGAAACAAATACAAATATATATATTGAAACTGGCTGAAAATGTTGAGTATTGCTTCGAGTTTCTTGTGTTTCAGTAGATAAAAACAATTTTAGATTTAGCAAGAGAATATATTAGTACTAAGCTATGACTTCCGCCCCTAGTAATCTGTGATTACTTTCAAGATCTCGAGTTAAATATATATAATAATATCTTTAAAATCTCCACTCGATACCCCTTTTTTTCCCCGGTGCACTTTTTTATGCTTCATATAGGTCGTGTGCCCTTTTGCCACGCCCCATCCACTGCCCTTTCCCCGTTCGCCATTTAACGCCCCCCAGTAGTCTGTCTCGTCGAGTGGTCGCTGCTGCTTGTTTGTCTATATGGCATTTGTTTGTTTTCGCCATCAGCCATCTGCCCCCGTTCTCATCAACGGCGTCATCAATTTTTTTCCTCACTTTTCCTTGCTCATGCGAGCTTGTGTGCTTTTTGCGAAAAACTTTTTAGTTTCCTTGTTTGATAGACAAACAGACGGCAATCGAGCGACCTCGAGAATTCCCCAATGGAATATGCTCGTGTGCATAAATTCTGGCGGAAAACGGCTTTCCCTGCTTTCATTTTCATAATGAGCAGCCCGAGACAGGCGATGGCGAAGTGGGAGCCATTTTCCCGGAGAGCAGAGTGGTCGAGGTTCGAGTCCTCAAAGTAATTGGCCGCGCAACTTGTAAATGACAAACATGTCCATGATGGAGTTTTCCACTAGCTTCTCGCCTGCCTCGCTGTCTGTCTGTCTGTCAGTATCGAAATTCCATAAAAGAGAAACTTTGGCTCATTAATATTTTCCGTTTTCCTGAAGATTAGCTGCAGCCGGCAAATGGAAATGGAAACGAAAATGCGGCACAGTCCATTTCCCCGCCCTCGGAGCTCGCTCGTGCTCCGATTTATTTATGTGTGCTCGTTGTTATCGTAACAAGGGTCACGATGGAACAAATCCAGGGAAAGAAGCTCCGAATGAAACGGAAAACTTTTAGGAGGAGGTGTTATATGAAATGAACATGGGGCTGGCTTTTAAACGGGACATGCACCGAAGCTGTAAAATTAAGAATGACATGCATTTTGCTAATATAAACTGGGGCAGACTTTACATAACACTAAAAATATTTAAATAAATATTATATATATTTTGTTTAACTTTAATTTGACTGCATAAAGTATAAAACAAGGAAAACTCCCGAATATCCTGCCGCCTGCTGTGGAAATGGAACGTCGGAGGCGATCTCCCACTGCGCCCAGCGGTCGAGTTCGCGATATGCGAAAAGGGTTTACGGGTTTACGACCCAAGGGTCAGAGGTACCTCCTTCTGTGACCAGCGAGTGCTACGCTCTGAATGCAATTACCGAAAAAAAACAGAGACAGTTTTTTTGGTCAAAAAATGAAGCGTCTCTAATATTCCCGGAAAAGGGAAAGTGATGCAGCCAGACTCTGTGTTTATGACAGCCATATAAATTGCAATTTGCTGCATTCTGTATTCGTTTTGTTGTTATTCAACGGGTTGGGCATATGTATCTGGGATCTGGTATCCGTATCTATGGATATATACTTGCTGCCACATGCCGACAGGCAGTACAAATATTTGCCCAGCTGAACGAACTCTCTAAAAAGGGATGGATTCTTACAGTGATGCCAAGTTAGACTTCTTTTTAAAACTATAAAATCTTTTTCCTCCACTCTTACCACTATATATTTTATTAAATTTATTTAATTTAATGTTTAATTTATATATCAAGTATTATTCTTCCTAAGCTACGAAGCTCTTGGCATCACTGTTGTGTTATGACAATTGATTTCGCGATGCTTCCTCCATGGACTTCGGACCCCTAATAGTTCCCCAGTTGACCATCTCCGGGATGGAAGTGCCCAGAGCCTGTCAGAGTCATAAAAATTATGGAAACCAAATGCGAATCGCGGACACTTGAATGGCCGCCATTCGAATGGATCAACGAACCCAAAAATAAAACAGATGCAGATGCAATTGCGATGCAATGGCGATGGCCGACTCCCGCTCCGATCTGATCCGACAATTATTAATTGCGATTGCTTCATTCAAATCGAAATGGAGCCTCCGTTTTGGGGCCCGAGTTGGCCAAGTCTGGTCAAACTGGTTAACTGGTTAACTCAGCCTGCCGCTGGGCATAAATTGCAATTTATGGTAAGCGGTAACGCGGCTTTGGTTAAATAATTCCCTATCGGTGCAGGGAGGGAACGGGTTTTAGCAATAAGTTTTATTATTTTATTCGCATTATTATCGCAAAAAGGAGTGACGCTTTTGTGGGGAGTAGCAAAATATACACCTGAGCATTAGTTACTTAATTAAATTAAATGTTGGAGGCTTAGTGTAATTTCTTTAAGTGGAGGGAGTCTTATTTTTATATATTTGTGTGGCCATTTGAAGATGCATTTAATATTTATGATGACTATAGAAGCCTGTATGCCACTTATTGTTTATATTTTAATAAATATGATGAAAAAATTAGTTTAAAATGTGATTTTAATGATTTTGCATATCCCCACTGTTAGCATTTTTTAATTTAAATATTTTTAAAAATTGTTATTCAATGATCTCGTGATACTCCAAAGAGGTAATTTAGCATATTGCCAATATTCTTCCTTTTAGTGAGTTGCAAAATCAGCCTTTATCGGGCCTCGCGTGTGGCCTGAAACCAGTTTTGGTCGGCATCACGTCCACGTTCACATTCCAACCACCCATTGAACCATTTTGCCCACTGCCATTTGCCTTGTGCGCATGTCCGAGTTTTCGTGATGGCCCGACCCCTGGGAAATTGCTCGCCTTTCCGCCGAGGCGATGAAAATTCTGGCACATGACGCCACACCGAAAGTTCGCCTGGGATCTGAGGATTTGAAGCCATATGGCGGCGAGATGCAGGCATCAGCTCAGGGCAGCGCACGAAGGTAGCCTCCGGCTGCATGGTTGTATCTGTATCTGAACGATGGCTGCTCATGGCAGCGACATTTCCCAGCGGATGGAAAAAGGAAAATGCAGTTCGTGGCTCACTTGCTTTTATACGCGCCAAGATAAGCAGCCGCCCAGACAAATTGAACCCTCGCCTCGCCCAGCCCTCTGCATTTTCCATTTCCCATTTCCCATCAGTCTGCTGCCACTCAGCCAATCAGTCCGTCATAATTTTCCCTTCGCTGAGCTTTTGCTCGCTGCTCGGCTAGATTAAACTAATGCAAATACTTGCGAAACTAAATAATGTCGATGGCCCCAATGCGAGGGCAAAATATTTTGCTGGCTGGCAGAGACAAAAAAATAAAAATATATAAATATATAGCGTCATAAGTGTATATATGTACATATGTTTCTTTATTTTCTTATCGCTTTAATTATTGGGTGCGTTCAGCAGGGAATTATTACAGTAAATCACTAGTTATTTGTCGGTCTATCTTGTTTATTATTAATTATTATAATAAAAGAGAAAAATGTTTAAGATTTATTTTAAAAAATGTACCGAAAAGTATATTACTTTGGAAGTAACGGGTATTTAGTGACACTTAATGACGATAATGTAAGATGAATGTAGCCTTTTTATGTACATATATTTTATATATTATCTTTATATTGACAGACTTTAATTTGTACAGATTTTACGACCTGACTTGGCTCGTCGGGTCTTCATTTATGCTTGTTTTTTAGTATTTATATTATTAGACAATCGTAAAACTTTTAATATAGCAAATTAATCAATCAGAAGTTGGAAACGGAGTCATTTTCGACCCCATAAACCATATATATTCTTGATCAGCATCAGATCAGCATCAACAGTCGGAAAGAAAAAAATTTTTTGAAAATGTTTTCAAAATTTTATAAGGGGTTACATCGTCAAAATTCTAAAAAGTTGACAAAAAATTTGATTTCTTAAAATTATAAATTCGGTTTACAGATTTGTAAACCTTATAAAAACTAGCACAGAAAAGCTTTCCGAATGAAATTTATAGCTTTTTTGACTTAGTTATGATATTTTTAAACATTGATTTGTTAAGAAAGTTAAAAAAATATCGATTTATTAAAGAGATTAATATTTATATGTATATGTCAACTACGTCTTATCAAAATTAGCTTTCTTTCTCGTTTAAAT